GTAAACCAATAATAGATTGTAAACTACCTAGGAAATGTACCTTACCTTTAAATATCATCAGGGTAATTATTCTAAGAAGCTGAACAGAATACAAGTCCCGAAACAATCTGAGAAAATAAACAATTTTCAGATACTAAAGAGGGAGGTGTGGAAGAAGCTGACAAGCGGATGGCGCCAATCATGTGTGCCAGCCCAACACGTCTGTAATGAGTCCAAAGTCGACCGTAAAGCCGGTGCTAAGGGCGATGTGGACGAGGTCACCACCGCCGCAGGTGGGGTAGTCGTCCCAGACGTGGATGCGGTGCACAGCTCACAGATAGCAATAGGGATGATTCTTCTTTGTTGCTCCGCCGCAAGCTCTCCTAGGCCGCCTAGAGCCTGCTCCATCTCGACGTCGCACCTGGCCCACTCTGCAGCTCGGAGTGGCGCACGACCGCTAACCTAGCTCGGCTGATCTAGCTCCACTGCTCCACACCTCTCCTCTGTCTCCGTCACCTTCGCTTCCCTCGCTCCACCTGCGGCTGTGGCCACAGGCGGCCGGCCCGAGCACCACCACAGGTGGCGCATGATATCCTCTAACCGGTAGTACCCACCGTCCTTGCAAATGGCACAGTACATTGACACCCCTTTCTTGACCTGCTTGGGGTAGGGAGGGTTCGTCGATACATGGAATCGTCGCCGCGCATGATATCCTCTAACCGGTAGTACCCGCCGTCCTTGCAAATGGCATAGTACATCGACACCCCTTTCTTGACCCGCTTGGGGGTAGGGAGGGTTCGTCGATACATGGCATCGTCGCGCGGTGGTGGCGGTTGTGGTGGTCGGGCCAAGCGTAGAAGGAGGAAGGTTTGGGATAGATGGCGTTCATCTTACAGGGTGCTTTGGAGTTTGGCAACGTCCGCCTGTCCGCGGCAATATTTAGGAGGCACGCTTTGTAGGCGTGCTTGTATGTGGATTTGGGGTGGTGCGGTGTTGAACCTTCTAGACGCAGTTGTGTCTTGGAACACTGAGGAGTGAGACCGCAACCACATATGTTTTTTTTCCTGGATTTTTATGACTCAATGGATAAAATATTACTCCATCCATTTCAACTTATAGATGTTTTGGCATTTCTAAATACATTACTTTTACTATATTTTAGATTTAGTGTATATCTAAATGCGTAGTAAGAGTGATGTATAAAAAAAACCAAAGCATCTTATATAATCTGAAATGGCGTGAATTCGAGGAATGTCATCACTATTTCCTGAAATACACCATATTAATTATACGCCTGATATGGCTTGAGCCTAGCTGCAAGGAGATGGAGTTTTGTGTAGACCAAAATAATCTCATAGTCTTCTTATATCTCTTTATTTCCCTTCTCCCTCTCCCCCTTTCTCTTTCTTCCTCCTTCGCCCTTCCTCCATGGCGGGAGAGCTACTTTCTTTGCCCCCTCCCTCCATGGCAGGAGAGCTACTTTCTGCACCCCCTCCCTCCATGGCTGCAAGGCAAAGGTCCATGGTGCGCTGTGAAGGGACCGTGACGCCTAAGAGGAGGGATGAATTTGACAACTTAAAAACTACTTCTAAAACTATGCCCTCTAATTTTCACCAAGACAAAACCTGTGAAATAAAAAAAACTATCTAGATGTGCAATTAAGGTGTGCTAGGTGTGTTGCTATCTCTAATGCAAAAGAGTTATGCAACCTAGATTTCAATTCTATCAACTAGCCTACCAACTAAGCTAGGAAATTAAAGCACAGAACCTAAGTACACAATATAAATGCGAAAGTTTAATTGAGATAGAGATGCAAACTCCCATCAATGACTCTGATACTTTTATCGAGGTATCGAGAAGCTCCTCGCTCCCCTCAGTCCTCGTTGCATAGCCCCTCACAAGGAAGCCCTCGCAAGGGCCAAGCTCCTGGTCGGATAACTCTATGGATAACTCTCGGACCTTCGCCACGCGCAAGTGGGTCTCTGAGATGGCCTCTCCTGGGCCGCTCCCTGCCGTCTTAACTATCGAGCTTCTGGCCAAAAAGCCACAGGTCTTGTTCCCTCCGATACATGGTGGCGGCCACACCACAATCGCGGTCGGTGTGGTCTCGCAAGACTACAGGCCCCTCCGTGTACAACAATGGTGCGCGCAAGCACCCAGTGATAACAGGTATGCAAATCTCACTAAATACTAGGTCTAAACCTAGAGCAAGTGCATAAGTGGTGGCCTAACTAACCTAAGCATTTCGCAAAGCACATATGCTAATCACCGAGTGAAATACTAAGCACTTTTGACAACCCACTAACAAATTTTCCTGCAATTTCGTGAAACCACATCATCGACTATTAACTCAGCAGCCTCCTCCCCATTCACATGGAGAACTCAGGCGTCATTAATGGTTGCGTCCCTTCGCTTCACCTCCTGCACTTCCCACTCACAGCTCCACATTAGGACTTGAAACCGGCGATCCAGTCTCCCTTGTAAAATGAAAAGTTCGCACCTAGACTAGTCGCTGCATAGCTATCGATCTCCTTATGCCGCCGCCCCTCTCCACCACCTCCATAGTTGCCGCCAAGGCACCTTGGCAAGCGACCACCAAGTTAAAGAGAGGAAACAAAATGAAATTCTGATTCTTCAATATTAAATATATAGATATAAATTTAGTTCTTAGACATTGTTAGATGATCCTTTTATCTAGTAATAACCTATGATCCTCGTTTGTACAAATATATATGCAGCATCTAGTAGCGGCCGGGAGTTATCAGACGATGAGCGCGCTAAGCTGTGATTGGATTCGTGTCTAAGGTTTCCATTTTTCATGCAACAAAAGGACCAGCACCTTTTGATACTTACTCTACACATGGTCAGTCGGCAGCGCCGCAGCGGTGCCTCGTTGTGCCCGGAATCTGTCTGGTTTCCACGCTCCGTGGCCCGAGCTACTTCAAATGGCGCTTCAATTGGTATACTTGGGTCAGTTTTATCATCTGAGCACGACACGATTTGTTTTATGAAAAAAGAAAAACTGCTTGTCTTTTTTATAATTAAAAACTGGCTGGATTGAACCGCGGTCGAGAATACCGTGAGCGCATCGGCACTCTACATCGCCGCAGGGCATGCTACGGTCCGTGCGGCCGGAGGGTACCACGCGCCGAATATATTTTCCCGCCCTTGTAGCTTCCTGCCCACCAGGCCACTAGGATTATGCCAGATGGCTCGCGCTCGAAACGGACAAGCCCACCACATGCATTATGTGCCGGTGATTTTTTTTATATCCACTTGATTTGCGTGCATTGACGTCAGATATCTTTATAAACTAAAAAAATCATAACAAATAGCTAAATTAAATTTTGATTACACCTTCGGGTTTCTCGCAATAAATCATTCGAAACAAGATCTCACATGAATATATTTAGATAAAAAAATTTAACGAACATTTGTCTTATGAAGATAGAACATTTTCTATTATTGAGAAGAGACGATGTTCTAGGTTCAAAGAACAATGTTCCGTCTTTGTAAGAAGAATATTCTCAATTTAGGTTCATGAAATTGGTATTATAATATACATAAAAATAAAATAAAATAAATACATAACATAAATAAAAAAATAATGAAACCAAGAGCTAAGCATAAGGAAAAAATGTGTAATAGAGAAAAAATTAAAAGAATATCAAATGGGTACTTTTTAAGACATCCTAAAATAATTATAGAATATCATATGTATACTAAGTGAACATCACTAAATACACTATAAAACATAAAAAACATAATAGAACAACACATGTAAATACATGAACATCGCAGAATACATCATAGAACATCATTATATACTACGTGAACATCACATGTATACTACGCGAACATCACATAATACATCATAGAACATCACATCTATACCACGTGAACATATAAAAACATCATAGAACATCACATTTATAACACATGAACATCACAAAAAATATCATAGAACATTACATGTATATTACATGAACATTACAAAAAATATCACAGAACATGACATTATATACCACGTAAACAACATAAAAAACATCTTAGAACATCACATCTATACTATATGAACATAGCATCTATACTATATGAACATAGCATCTATACTACATGAATATAGAAAATAAAAAAATTAAACATAAAAATAATTAAGTAAGTTAAAATAGAAAAATAGAAAATTAAAAAAAAGAAAAGAAAAATCACATGAAACGAAAAATAAAAATAAATTGTAGAAAGAAAATAAAAAATTAATAAGAACATGAAAGCAAAGAAAAGAAATAAAAGAAACATAAAAAATGAAAAATGAAAAGAATAATAAAAAATTACATAAAACAAAAAAGGAATATAAATAAAAATGAAGCATGAAAATAAAAATAAAAAGGGAAAAGAAAGAAAAGGAAAGAAAAGAAAAAGAAAAAGAAAAAGGAAAGGAAAGAAAAAGGAAAGAAGAAAAAAAAAAGAAAACATACGTACCTACCTACCTGGACGCTGCTGGAAATCCCGTCCCAGCGGGCAGCGCGCGCTCGCTCGTGCATGCATGTGGGCCGCGCTGCCGTGCAAGCGCATCGCGCGGGAAGATCACGCGGGAGCCGTTCGGCGCACGGCTTCCGTCCGGCCGTTCGGACCGGAAGAATCGCGCATCGCCGCCGCCGCCGCCACCGTCGACCGATGGCCCCGGCCCCGCCTTCATCATCACCGTGTAAATGTGTAACCCGCCCTGTTTCGGGCACCTGCACGGATCCGGAGCGAACTCGAGTCCAGGTCCGCTATGGTTATCTCTCATCACCGTGTAATCCGCCCTGTTTCGGGCACCTGCACGGATCCGGAGCGAACTCGAGTCCACCGTCGACCGATGTGCCCTCCGACTCGGATCAGTTCCCTAGTCTGATCCTTTAAAAGAGAGAAGGGGCGAGGCGTGGTGTTACAGACTCCAAACGGCAATCAGACAGCAAAACCTACGAGCCGAGCAGATCCGCGGCGCGGTGTTTCTCGTTTTTCTCGTCGGTGCGTGCGAGATGGAATCCAAGCTCACCCAGGATGTCGGCCCGCTAGCGGCGGCGGCCTCGTCTTTCCCGATGCTCGTGTACGACTACGAGCACGGCAACCCGCCGGAGATTTCCCAGACCGTCCTCTCGGTCTCCGACGGCTCCATGCGCACGATCCGAGTTCCCGAGATGTGCGACTACACGTGTCTGGAGACTCAGCAAGGCCTAATGCTCATGGTGGACACCGCCTCAGGATCCTGCTGGCTCTGGAACCCGCAGACCGGGGAGAAGACGGCGCTGCCCTCCATGAACGGCGAGCTGCCGTACCAGTGCCGGTGCCTAATCTCTGACACCACAAGTTCTCCTCCAGACTCGGTCTCGGACGACGTCGATCCTCCGGACTCCCTCGTGCTCGTCTACGACCTCACGCGCCCGGAGCTTCTGTTCTGCCGAATCAGAAGGCGGCGCCGGGTGGGTGAAGCAGTCCTACGACATGGGCATCGAGGTCCCCGCCACCGAGAAAGGCCGCACACCGAGCGGTGTGATCAGTGACATGGCTGCCGTGCAGGGGGCGTTCTACTACTCCGAGTCCAGAGACGTGATCGGCGCTCTCTTCAGCTTCGCCGACGATCCGGAGCCGCGTCTGGAGCTCGTCACCTTTGATGCTCCGCTGCCCACTCTCGCCGTGGACGCGCCGCAGCTGAAAGCGACGAAGAGCTACCTGCTGGAATCCTCGAGAGAGCTCTTCCTCGTCTGCCTCTTCTACATCAGCAGCAGCATCGAGCGCATCGAAGAGGTCGGCGCCTACGTGATGGATTTCTCGAAGAAGGAATGGTGCAAGGTGACCGACATTGGCGACGCGGCGTTTCTTCTTGGTCCCGGTCCCGGATGCTTCGCGGCCTCGTGCTCTGCGGCGGAGCATGGCCTAAAGAGCGGGTGTGTCTACCTTGCTGACGACAACAACGATCTCCACATCTTTGATCTCAAGCAAGGCACTCGTGAGCTCGTTAGACCAACTCAGGACATACCTTCTCTCTCGCGCGTGCCATTTTGGCTGGTGCCTGGTGCCCGTCCTCCCGCAGAGCCAGAGCTCTTTCAAGTATCGTACCGTGATTAAGAAGATATTTGTTTGGTGTAGAGAAAATCACTGTTTTATTTACGATCATTTAAGTGTTGAACAACAGCTGAATAGTACTAGCCATGTTTGCTTGGTACGATAAAATGAAAAAGATTGTTGATTGATTTATTGTGGGAGAAAAAATATTGTTCGTTGGCTGAAAAAGCACGGCTTATAAACCAAACGAACAGAGCACTTCCTTATATCGTAGAAAAGTTTCATCGCTAGTGAATAATATTTTTTAAGTCCTTTAAGAGTTTCTCTTATTATTTTTAATCTCGCATAACTAGCATGCTTATGTACTTTGATATATTTAAGTTTTTTAAATGATGCGACTTTTTTTCTTGAATTAATTAAATTTATTCCATTATATAAAGAAATTGTGCAAAAGATTCCCTAATTGAACGTTTGGCCTTGGAGTGCCTCTTGCATAGTCTTGTCTAGAATAGACTGCTTGGTGACTCTATCCGCAACTTTCAGCCTGATCGCTGGGCTGGCTAGCCCCCTCACATAAGTATTGTTCACCGGAACCAGCCAGCAGTACTTCTCTCTCACATAAACGAACCAGTAACGATACGAACCAGCTAACCGAACAGCCTATTTGTTGGCATCATCTCTCTGTTAATATGTACCTTATAGTATCTTGATGATGACTTGATGACAGAGTGTTGAATCCGGTGCATAACGAGCGGATAACACCTTTTTTGAGTTTTTTTTTAAAGATTGACAATTTTATTTATTGTGATCTCACGAATTGTTTGAAAAACAACTTCGAACCGAGCTTTAACGAGCTGAACCAAAGTCAAAAGTCACACAAAATTATCTTATTTTTATTTAAAATGAGTTTAATTAGAGTATTTTTTAAAGGAGACACCAAGCTAGCTCAACGAGTTTTTTTGTCCAATTCTAACATCAAAAAATCAGGTGATTTTGGACACAAGAACCAATACTATGGGTACTATGTCTCGGTGATTTTGGACTTTGGCAGTTACACTACTAGGTACACCAGTGACGGATTCAGGATTGAAAACTTGTGAAGTAAAGCTTGATGAATTTAGATCAATTAACATCAGCAATATATATAATTGTAAAATTTATAAGGGATATAAATCTATTTTGACAAAAGTTGCGGGGTCACTTGATCCCACAACTAAAGCCTAGATCCGCCACTGACATACACAATCATTTTCTGTAAAGAAAAATCACGTTTTGCATTTGAGGGAGCTGTGCTTGCTTGGCTCCCAGGAGCAAGGCATGTATAAGCAGCTTCCGTTGGTTCCATGGCCTACTGGAAGGCAACCATCCAATCCAACACTTGCATAGTTGCATGGGACAGACACGAAGAAGCGTGTTTAGTAGATTGGGGTGAGCTCGTGAGGAGTGTCATGTGCACGGGTTGATTTGCCATCTGTACGAGTGGAGGTGGATTTGGATAATCCAAATTTTCAAATTTCAATTGGACTTTAGTGGTTTTGTGTAATGTCCATAATCATTTAACCCAACAAAATTCATTACCCACTAGACATTAACTTAAAAGAAGTCCAGTATCCATTAGTTTAGACATCACTATAGTAGAGAAATCATTTGAATGTACAACCGGCACTTTTTAGATTTTTTCTAGCTGTTTCATGAACTGCTAGTGTGAAAGAACAATAAAAATTGAGATGTTTCACTAGTGTCACTTGAGAACCGTCTATCACAAGTCACACGATTTTTCGCTTCCAAATACAGGCCTGTGCTGTCACTGAGCATCGAGCTCACAACCTTAGACCCTGTGCGTTGCTCCCTAACCTATGATTAGGTGGCTAATACATAACTTTTGTATTCACTCTAATGAATATTATAATGCATATATGAGACCCTAAACAAATTTTATGAAAAAAGTTTGAACCGGAAAGTTTTAGATCTCTACTAGTATTACAACTTTAGTTTAGGTCATTTCTCCGTCTAAGGTCATTTGAGAAATACAAAAAAAAATGATTTCAAATCATTTGTAGTGGCAACAGGTTAAGAAAACCGCTAGTGTAAATACATCTCTACTACTGGTGGTTTTCTTAAGGTTACTGCTAATACAAATCCTCGGTAGTGTAAATCGGATTCACATTGTCGGTTTTCTTAAGCCTACCACCAATGTAAATAGAAGATTTGTAACGACAGTAGCCTTAAGAAAATTGACAGTAGAGATGTATCCCACCAACGGTTCATAGCCATGAGCCCATAGTTCTATTTCTCTAGGCATATATTTTTATTGAAAAGAAACTAGTGTCCATAAAAACCGTTTCTGTGCTAGTGCATTAACTTAAAAATAGTGTCCATTGGATGTTGGTTACTTGAGAGGTAGACCAACCTTAAGTGTATATTTTTAATTTATGATGTGGGACTCACGTATATATCTAGTCACACTGATTTGCACATAGTAGTTAGCAGTTATAATGAGTTATCTCCAATAAATTTTAGTTAATTTTGCTAAAATTTTAAAGTTTAAACGTGATGTTTTTAATTCTAGGATCCAACTTTCGACCTGAAGTCCACATATATCTATCTAATCACACTGGTCTAAACAAAGTAGTGGGCAATCAATGATTCGACTTATTTCGAACAAATCAATTTCGCTAAAATTTGAAGGTATGCATCCAAACTTTTAAATTATGGGGTCCAACTTTTAAAATAGAATTAACAACTAGTTGTAATTGTTTGTTATTATTGTATCATATTGAATGGATTTAGACTTAAGAGAAATTAGATTAGATTGGACTAGACAATAATTACTTTGTATTAGGATAGGTTTATACTTAGATTTTAAGAGAATTTATCTATGTGGATTTGAATGCTAATTCATTGTCACCTCTATCAGCGAGTTTGTCCGGCAAGTTTATGTTATCGAATCTAGAATCATTACATGGGTTCCATGAACACCACATATATAGCAGGTAAAATCAAATAGTCAGCAGTGTCTCTCATCGTCTCGCTCGTCACACCCAAACCGCTGGCCCAACCGGGCCCCCTCAAACCACCAAACCGCTGGCCCAACCGTCGGCACCGGCCCCAGGATATTGGAGGCCTCTTCCACCACCCCAACCAGGCAACCAGTAGTCGTCGACTCGTCGGTCACGCCGCCCACCATCGAATCGAGCCGCACGCGTTGCTCCAGCAACTCCCTTCCCTAACCTTAACCTGACTACCTGAGCCAGAGCCGATGCAGACGAGGCACGTGGGAAATAAAAATTGGGTCGCAACTCGCAAGGAATCGCACCCTGACATGTATCCGCGCGTCGGCACATGTTGTGGCTCATGCATGCTTAAATTTGGAAATACATTTGGTGGACCCTAGGTATCATGTTTCTTGCATGTTGCGACTGGCAAACCAAGGAGTCAGATACTTTATATCTAGTTCTAATCCATCATTTATCTTCTCTTAGTTCATAATGTGTTATTTTCTATACAATATATTATAGTTTACATTGTCGTCATTGTTTTATTTGACAAAACAAAAAAAAACATTGATGGGGCACCTCATTACTCAAACCAAACACACTCTATGTGTACCAATTAGATCAGGGAGGATCATCAATTCAAGGTGCATGTGGTCTTTTGTCAATGCATTATTTTCTCTAGTGCAGCTCTTATTCCTTTTGCTGGCGGTATCGATTGCTTTGCAATAGGTAGCGGCGGGAAGGAGTTCCCCATTGCTGTTTCTTCCCTTTTGCTGAACCAAACAATTCCCTAGTGTCTACGGGTTCTTCCAAGAATTTTGCAAAAAAAAACAGCCAAACTTGCGGAGTTTCAAAACACGCAGCATTGCATGGCTACGAACCGGTTGCTATACAAGGCTCCCTTCCTAGCTACTAGCCAAACTTGCGCTAGCATTGAAGGAGAAGAAAGTCGGTGGCGCTACTGCTCAATCTCAACACTATATAACCGTCTCTTCTCTCGCAGAGCCCCACAAACCGCCTTACCATCCCTGGTTCGAGAATCCTACAGCGAATCCCACCGTGAACCCAAGCCGAGGTCACGCCACTCCGCCATGTCTCGCCGCGGGGCCCCTAAACCGTCGTCGACGAGTCCCTACAGCCTCCACTGTCCCAAGTGCGACGATCGGAGGTATGCCATCACGCATATCTTCACCCATCTACGCTGGTGCTCCGGGCGCCCCCACGGCGACGGGGCCGCTGTGTCCGCGCGGCCTGAGCAGGAGGTAGCCAGGGAGGCGCAGGATCGACTGGCTCCAGGTCGGAACCGCGAGGAACGGGCGGCGCGAGCAGAACAGCAAGCGCGGGGCCGGCGAGCTCTGCAACGGGTGGCGGAAGAGCAAAGGCGGGAGCGGCTGCGCATTCTGAAGGAGGACCCAGCGGCCTCATCTTCCGCCACCTCGCCCTCGTTGTCAGCGTCGGAATCAACCGCGGCGGCGTCGACGTCTACCTTTCCCGCCACCGCTTCCTCTTCGTCGACGCAGGCCACCGCTTCCTCCTCGTCTGCGTCCAACTTCCCGGCCGCATCCTCCTCGACGCCGACGCCCACCTTCCAGGCCCAGGCCCACTCGTTGTCGCCAGAGGAAGATTCAGCGTCGTCCCCGTAAGGGCATCCTCTCCGCCCACGTCCGCTCGTCTTCGGAGGTCCCCGTATTGATCAGTTCTTCGAGAGGTTCTTCAAGGATTCTTTGGTCGTTTCTGTTTCTGCATTCTTGGAACTGATCAAAGGATATTGCATCTCGTGTGATGGTCTGGATCGGTTCTCGATGGATTCCTTCGTTATTTCTGTCTTTCGCTTTCTTAGAACCCTGTTCTGATCTACGTTCACTTGTGATGAACTAAGCATCTGAAAGTGGCTATGCAACTACTATCTGTTAGTTCTCGCCTCAGTTCTAATGATCTGATGAAAGCTAATAGATTCTCGTTAATTGATTTGGCAGTTCATACCATTTCCTTGTGTCCCAGTGTGGGCATCTTGGGGTGAAAATTGCAGGATTTTGGTATAAACTTGTTGACATAATGTTTTCTAGTTTCTTGGAATAGTGCATCTGTGCATGACAGAAGTTCCATACTCTGTTAGTTATTTTCTTGAGTGCTAAAAAGGCAAAGAAAAAAACTCTAAGTTTTGCTGCTGAACATATGATTAGTCACTCTGGAAATCTTGTGAACTGACTGTCAGTTTTTGTTCTGATAAAATTTCTGAAATCTTGTGAACTGACTGACAGTTTTTGTTCTGATAAAGTTTCTGTTTGCTTCATAGTACTATCATTTTTCTTGTCTTCGAGTTCAATGATTCGAACAGCAGCTACTGCTTATATCATACTGTTGTATAACTGAAGTAGCAAATGCTTGATAGTTGACTCTTCTGCTCTATGGGATGCCTAATCAGGTGATGGTGATCGAGGGCAGTGTGTCTTGTCTAATGGTCTAGAGCAATTCTTGATGGATTCCTTAGTTGTTTCTGTCTTTGAATTGGTTGAGCTTAGCTTTGGGCTGTTTTTGTTGTTTTGTTCATGTCTGAGTTTGGCCATGCAATTACGATTTGTACGTTCTTGGCTCAGTTCCAGTGTTCTGACAGAAGCTAATAGATTCCTGTTAATGGATTTGGTAGTCTGTACCATTTCCTTGTGCCCCCAATGTGATATATGGCTGAATGTGCATCCCTTTTCGCCACAATGGTTGCTAATTTCTTGAAAAAGTGCATGCCACCATTTACTTTCTCTGTTTAATCACTTTGTTGAGTGACTAAAACCTTTTGATTTTGCTGTTGAAAATATGATTAGTCGGTCTGAAAATCTTGTGAACTGCTTTGCTTGTTCTGATTGCTTCACATCATTTTTCTTGCATTCCATTTCAATGATGGGTTCAACTACTGCTTATATCATACTGTATTACTGTTATTAATTTGTGATAACAGAAGATAATAAAGGGCATGTAACCAATGCAAAGAGCTCCCGCTTCTGTGCGGGGTCTGGAGAAGGGTGTCAGTGGCAAGCCTTACCCTCGCCTGTGCAATGCGAGGAGACCGCGACTCGAACCCAGGACACTGATAACAGAAGATAATAATACTGCTAAATCTTAGACTCTTCTGCTGTTGAGTTTCAGCTGGACCTGAGATCTGATGTGCGTTTAACTTTCGGATCTCATTGTCGTTTCCTGTGTGTGAATACTGATTATGCCATGCCTGTCCTTGCATGCATATTGTTTCCTATTCCCTGTTGTCATTATGTTTTTCCCCCGATTCCATATGTGGTACTAAGTAACATCACAATTTGCTACTGAAAAGCTCTTCTGTCATGCTTGTATAAGTTGTGTCACTTAACAGCTCAATATGTCACCTATTTGTTTTTCACTAATTTTCCATCAATCCTGACCTTTTGTTTATACATCGAGAAACTTAACTTTTCAGTTACGAGTGTAAGTATCACTGGAGATGTTTTCTTGCTTGCTTGAGCCAGTCCTTCCATTGTGCAGTGTTTGCAAGTATTCAAACAGGGTTCATAGGTTTGATTGCCAGAGTTTGAACCCTGTTTAGCTTCAGTGCCCACTGTCCAGAGTGCGTGTCAAATGGTTTCAGACTTTCAGAGTTCGTGAGGCTGAATCACTATCACTGCATAAGTTGTGATAGCCTGATAGGTAGATGTCACAGGGACTCCACGAGGTCATTTCCCGAGCGCTGATGTTAACTGCTGCAGTGCTGCTTGTGTTTGGTGTTTCTTGCGCTGCATCTACAGTCAGTCTGATAGGTGATAGCGGTCAGTCTTCAGAATTGCTGATACTGTCTTTGATCGCCGGCCTGCGTTCAGAATAGTTAATGCACACGTCATGCTTGTTTAGTTTCCTCACCAATGTATTACGTATGAATGAGTCGAACTTTCATAGATTTTCAAGACAAACTTCTTTGTCGAAACCAATTCAGTTTTGAAGTAGAGGTGAAGAGGCATAGCTGCAGTAATACAGGGCCTGCAGGCTGCAGAACGGCGTATCTATGAGCACTAATCAAACAACTAATCTGATCACTTCAGATTAGTTGTATCTTCGAGCACTCAAAGCATTCGTCGTTCCAAGCTGGAAAGATCAATTCAGCAACCAACAATGAACACGAACAGAACGAATAAAGGGAGTATCATGATTATCCATTGACAGCTCATTACATTACACACCACAGATTACGATTACGAGTAACTCGACAGTTCAAGTAACTAAATAAAAGCACAAGCTTCACTCAGATTATATTATATAGGAAGACGGGAAGGAGACAGCTCAAATTACATCGTCAGACAGCACAACACTGAGAAGCCAACTTCAGAGTTTCGACATCCTTTCAACATCCAGAGGAAGGGCACGCTACTCACTCATGTTGCCATCACCACGGGCCTCTTGTGGTCCTGCAGGAGCTGCCGAAGCTGCTGGTACCCATGGCGGTAGTGATCAAGCGAGAAGCACAGCTGCCTGATCGCCTCACGCTTCCCCTCTGCGCTGTCCGATATAATAAGCTTCTGCTTCTCAACCTCGTCCTCGAGCTCACACACGCGTGAACACAGGCCTGACGCGTCTTTCCGTGCAATATCTGCCTCTTCGATCAGCTTGACACGCTCCAGGTGCATCTGATGCAAGTGGTTGTCCATTTCCTTCAGCTTTTCATCACGAGTAGTGACATCAATCAGCAGAACGGACACCTTGTTTTCGACTGCAGCCTTCTCTGAAGACAGCTGCTCGATCTCCGTCTTAAGATGGGCGATAGCTTGAATCAGTTCAGATAAATGTTTCTCACTCTCAAGGGATGCTTCTGCTTTCTCCACGTGAAGTTGTTCAAGCTGTGCCTCTGTGGCTGTCAACTTGCCCTCAAGGGAAGCAACCAAGGAATTTAGGTCACTGGTTGCCTGTTCCACATCCTTCATACGATTCTGAAGTTCTGCTTTCTCTTGAAGAGCTTTTTCTAGGTCGTCTTTCAGGTTCTTAATTGTAGCTTCTAGCTCCCTAGCCTCAGCCCTTGAATCCTCCAACTGCCTACGAACTTGCTCCAACTCCATAGCACGTTCCTCAAGTACACCCTTATCATTTGAATCATTTTCCAATCTTGCTTGCAGATCCTTGATTATTTCTTGTAGCTTTATAATCTCTGCAGAAGAATCATCTAAGTTATTAGAAACTTGTTCAAGCTCCTTTATCTGGGCCTCAAGCTGCAATTTCTCTCCTGTAACTTCTGTTAGGTTCCGTTCAAAAATCTTAACAACTTCCTGGAGCCTTTCAATTTCAGATTCAAGAGCGGATTTCTCATGGAAATACTTTTCAGAAACTTGCTCAACCTCCTGCTTGCACTTCTCAATCTCATGGCCACGGTACACTAATTGGGCTTCAAAATGTTTTGCAGTCGAGGCCATGTCTCGTTTTAGATCCTCGATCTCATTCTTGCTTGCCAGAATTGCAGCTACAAAGTCTTCCTTTTCATTGCTAACTTGTTTGAGACTCTCTTCAAGTTTTTCACATTGGCAGTGCATGTTCTTTACCTCAAGTGCCTCAATTTGTTGCCTTGCTTCCTGAAGCTCATCTTCTAGCTCAGTAATCCGTCCATCCATTATATAAGAAATCCCATTGCCATTTTCTTCACTTGCCTCATCAACCTCTGAATCAGAATCTGAAGAAGATGATGATGATGATCCATCACTCCCCTTCTTGGAAATGTCTGAGCTTCCACCAGAACCAAGGAACACATCAAAGCCAACTGCTCTTGTTTTGCGCTTCGGTTTTGCTGTGTTCTGTTCCATGTTAGGCTCTGGAGATGGTGAAATTGATTGTGTCTCGGAATCAGTTTCGGATATACCAGAGCCTTGAGACTGCAGTGCAAGACCCTTGCGCAATTCCCCAGTCACGTTGTCATAACGCTCAGCAAGAGCACGGTACATGCGATAGAAGTTCTCAACATGATTTACAAGCAGAGGCCTTCTTTGGAAATACATCTCAGCCTTCTTTGCAAAAGAATCACCTTCATCCTCTATGAGCTTCAGCATCTCTTTAACTTGCTTATCCATCTCTATTCATTCAGAAAAGAAAAAGTCAGGAAAGTTTGTGCTATTATTATACTGCAGGATACATGAACATTGAACAAGTTACTGCAGATTGCTCTTCCTGTCAAATGACAGAAGTGTCAGTACATGCTGTCATTCAATAAAAAACAGAGTTGTTACCTTCCAAATTCTCAGCTAGCCATTTGGAGTTCTTTGGGCTAATATGGCTGTCCCACCACCATGAATGGGACTTTCTCGTTTGCATTCTATGCATGCGCTTCATTGTCACCAAAATAAGATCTCTCTTAGTTGACCTGGAACATGATTGACGGTGAACATAAGAACAAGTGGGCTAGTCTTAGTATTATTATTGACAGAGTAAAAAATTTCAATGTCACCACTGAAGACCTGTTAGAATAATGGTGACAGTAAACAAGAAACAGCAACCAGTAACATCGCTCACAGATAAAGAAAAAACACAGAGTGCGCAAAAGCCGTGCATGGCATAAGGTTAACTCCGATGGATCAACTTGCAATCATATGGGTAGGAAGCAGATCTTCTACTGCCTACCTGTAGAACAGTACTGCATGCATATATTAGAGGAGGATGAAAAGGGCTCAGCATATCAACCTCCAAAATGCGGACATTGATTGGTTAGCAAAGAGATGGGAAGCAATCAGCGATGACTTTCCAGAAAGCTCAGGACCAGAAAATTGATCAGCATCAGCAACCCAAGGTGGAATTGGGGAACAAAGTAAAAAAAAATTTGAGGTCAAAACAAAGTAAAAATTCAGTGTGACGATACAACTGTACCTCGTTTTAAGTCAGACCGTGTTTAGTTCGCGAATTTTGGAAATTTGTTACTGTAGCACTTTCGTTTTTATTTGGCAATTAGTGTTCAATCATGAACTAATTAGGCTCAAAACGTTCGTCTCGCAATTTCCAACCAAACTGTGCAATTAGTTTTTTTTTCGTCTACATTTAATGCTCCATGCACGTATCGCAAGATTCGATGTGATAGCTATTGTAGCACTTTTTAGGAATTTGGTTGGGAAGTAAACAATGCCTCATTGATGTGCGAAAAGAACACAAGCACATTCTTTTATGAATGATGTAACAGCTTTAGACTAATAAGTATGGGCCATTTAGGGCTTATTGTACACATTTATCTGCCATGAAAAAATGATCAAATAAACATCTAGTTTGACACAGATTGCCTATCTCACAGACATATAAGTGAGGTGTTTTTAGATAATGATAAGTAAGGTGGTTGCATAAAACTACTATGCCTTCTCAATGTAAACTAAACAGGTTTGAGATGGACTAATGTCTAAACATGAAGTACGTCAATCTCTTTGGCTCGAATATTAGTTGGGAAACTCATTCATGGAGCAGGCAGTCATGTACGGCTATGACTTGGCTATCACACACCACAGCACAAAAGATGTCGCAGCTACTTCTCCGTTCGGCCCCTTGTTAGGTAAGAGCCTAATTCAATGGACTTGAATAAACTTGCACAGCCAAAATAAATTGACAGAAAAATTGTTCTGTCCCCACAGGGATCAGAATTTCAGGGCCCAAGCTGAAACTTGCAGTACCAGTGTACCACAAGCTCTTCAGTTATTGTCAACCAATATCGAACCCAATCATTGAGTGAGGACTGAGACCAGTCAATTTAGTAAAAAAAAATTGTTTGTGATCCACGTAACATGGCTGGCCCCCAGCTTACACCTAGAGCCCGTTTAGTTTCACTTCATTTTATAAAAATTTTCAAGATTTCTAGTCATATCGAATCTTTGGACGCATGCATGAAGCATTAAATATAAATAAAAAATAAAACTAATTACACAGTTTAGACGAAATTCACGAGATGAATCTTTTAAGCCTAATTAGACTATGATTGGACACTAATTGCCAAATAACAACGAAAGTGCTACAGTACCATTTCGCCAAAAAAATTACAAACTAAACAAGCCCCTAGATGGACACATGCAGGCATCGGGTGAGGGGCAGAGGGGCCATCACAGTAGGGCCACGTTTTTATTTGGTAATAATTGTCCAAACATTGACTAATTAGACTCAAAGCGTTCGTCTCGTAAAGTACAACTAAACTGTGCAATTAGTTTTTGATTTCGTCAACATTTAGTACTCCATGCATATACCGCAAGTTTGATGTGACGGGAATCTTCTTTTTGCATAGTGCCAAAGTTGATAATTTGGTGGAACTAAACAGGCCCTAGGAATAATCTAGTACATTCTGATGTCAACTGCGGATTTGAAGAAAGGCCAGGAGTGGTACACCTATATTGTATCTCTGGAAATTGTACATTATTTATTCATTTCTTGAAGGTAATTTTGTCATGCATGTGAGGATGGCAATAATTGAAGAACACAGCTAGGCACTTAGGATAAGTAAAAATATCTGTAGGAAATTATGTAATATACAAGGGCGAGGACCTTGCACATAGATTTAAGAAGCCCAAAATATCAGTAAATGCTTCAAAATTTGGAAGAAAACTCATTCATATTTCATACAGTTAAATTCCCCAAAGTTAATGGTTATAAAGGGATCTGATCTGATATGAGTAAATATAAAACAATTTGCAGGTCTCCTGACCCAACAGCTGTGAATAGGCACATGCACCAGCTAGGATGGTCACCCTACGCGTGCTCTAGAGGGGAAAAAAATATCGAAGCACATCCAAACAAATTTTGAAAAAACAAAATCTGCCCTCCATCAGACTGATCTCCCCTAGAAGTCCCATCTGCCCATCGCACAGCAGGAAACAAGTTCAAAATAGGCTGCACGTACCACGAATCGCTATGAGTCTTGCAGCTTCAGGGAGATACTACAGACTCCAGAGGATTTGTAATGGTGACATGTAGCTCGAAGCAAGTTTTCCACATAGAACGGATTACGAAAGCTCAGTATAATCAATGAGCCGAGTACTCTGGTGACCGATGGCCAGCTGAAAGGGACGGGGATTTAAAGGTCAATCTAAACTGAGGAAAAGTCAATCGACAAACCAGCCGCAGCAGCGCTCCAAAACGCCTGAAATCAGCATGCCCTGTTTCCAGGGCGCCATGAGCGTGGCGTCAACACTAAGCGACAGTGCTCAAAATTCGAAATCTCAGAAAAGTCCGCGGCACGGCACCAACACTAAGCGACAGTGCTCAAAATTCGAAATCTCAGAAAAGTCCGCGGCACCAGGAGGAAGACGCGCGGCGAGCCTCCAAAAAACTCAAATAGCGACGGAACAGAGGAGAGAGACGAAACCGCGGCACCAGGAGGAAACGCGCGGCGCGAGAGGGGTGGGAGAGCTTACCGAGGAGGAGATGGATCCAGGTCTTCTTCTTCTTCCCCCGCCCGGCCGCCCGGAGACGAACGAAGCGCGGGCCAGAGAGAGATTGGCCTGAAATGGCACCCGCCCGGTGGTGGTGCTCGAGAGTGGAGGGCTCTTTAAACCGCGGGGACGACGGGCCCTGGGCCGCCGAGGTGGGATGATGATGAGCTGGACGCGTTTAGGCCCCGGCCCCCGTGGCAGTGGCAGGTAAATACTCTACCAGGGTGGTTACAGGTTACGCTGCTATTGATTAATGATTAATATAATCCGTGTCCAAGACGGCAATGTATCAAGTGCAAACCAACTTCGGCGCGGCCGCGGGGTTTGAATTTTTGCGGCAATGATATGCATTGTATGGCTAGCATTGTTTCGAGGAAAAAAACAACGGTAAAATGATTTTTCATAAAAGCTGTTTAGCTAGTACTTTTGAATTTGAAGGAAGGGGAGTTCAAATGATTCCTATGGAAAAAAGAGAAATCTAACTATACTTAGTCAAAACTTGGTGCTCACTGTTTTTCTTCATGCTCTTTACTACCTATGACACCTCTCAATTATATTCTCTCACCTTTGACACATGCTCTAGTAGTTTAGGGCGACGAGCCAACGATAGGTTTTAGCGATAGGTTTTAGCGGTGGTGTAGGGTCTACCGGTGGCAGCCCTCACCTAGTTATGTTTGGGAAAGAGCAGTGGTGGAGGACATGTGAGAATTATAAGATATAATATACATGGTTTTAACGAACGATGGATTATAGTTTATAGCATCTTTAGCAAATGAAAAAAACACGCATGCTACAGTAGGCATTGGGCAAACTCAAGGTATGGCAATGGCCCTACCTTGCCATACCGAGAGCTCTGGCACTTAGAAATAGACAAAACACGGGTAAAGTGGAGACGGGGCACATTGAGCATAGAAGCTATGATTCTGATACGAGTTTGAAGAAACACATCAATAGTAGACCTGTTCATATTAAAACACACAATGTTTTCTGTACACCCAAGCTTGATATGAACTTGACATAGGCTATGAAAACTGGGTCTAAGTCTATTACGTGGACATGCGAAGTTGCGTCGGGTTTTTATGGAGTGGACGAATTTCAGGTCTAATCTTGAGCCTCGCACTAGGTTAAAATAGCCCGATGCACCAATCGGATAGTGCCATGCAAGACATGAGCCTATTATCAAGTCTAAATGACTGTGTCTACAAGCATGCAATGCTCAATTATTCGATATAAAGTCTAACAAATATTGACTCCGTATTTGAAATACAATTAGTACTCCGTCCGTCAAAAAATAAGTGCACATCTCTCACTTCGAGAGTCAAATAATCTCAAGTTTGACTAGATTTATAGAAAATAGTATTAACATTGATCTCTCTAAATAGGATTAGTATGAAAATATATGATATAATTAATCTAATGATGATTATTCGATATTACAAATCTTAAGAGTTTTTTTATATATAAAAATTTGGTCAGACTTAATATTGTTTGACTTCTTAAAATGCAAGATGTGCATTTATTTTGGGACGGAGAAAGCAAACATATTCCGCTTCATAAGTACTACAATACTTTGATCGATAATTACTCTATATATATGGAGTAGGAGTAATATTACATTCCTGCTATAGAATACATAATTCTATGTAACTTCTTTATATGAAACTGATGGCTCAATTTTGTATTAAAAAACCATGTATTGACAAAAAAAAATATTGGTCAAAAACATGGGCTAGCTAATGAAGCAAAATACTCCTACAACATTCTAAGCGGAGAGAATAGAAGTAATTGGATGACATGCAGCTCGTTTTGAGTGTTTTTTTAGATATATGTTTACCACGACTATGATGTTGGTGAGCTGTCCACGTACGTGTGATTATATATATTGAGTCATTGACCATGCACGCGTGACCAACAGCTCATCTCAAACAATCTGGCGCC